CACGTCTCAATGAAGGACGTGGAGGATCAGATGACCCTGACGCAACAAAAAAATGCCTCCTACTTTGTCGAGTGGATCCCCAACAATGTGAAGACTGCGGTCTGTGATGTGCCCCCGCGTGGCCTCAAGATGTCAGCTACATTCATCGGCAACACCACCGCCATTCAGGAGCTCTTCACTCGCGTGAGTGAACAGTTCTCGGCCATGTTCCGTCGCAAGGCCTTCCTGCACTTCTACACCAGTGAGGGCATGGACGAAATGGAGTTCACAGAGGCTGAGTCAAACATGAACGACCTGGTGAGTGAATACCAACAGTACCAGGAGGCGGGTATCGATGACGAGGAGGGCGAAGAGTACGAAGAAGGCGAGGAGCAAGGGCAGCAGGAGGAAGCAGCACAGTAAAATACACATGGATTGTGTGTTTGTGTGTGTGGCCGTCTGCACCTAGGTGTCTTCTCGCACTATCCATTTCCCCCAGCATCATCTATTGTCATGTGCTTTTTCTATCACAGCCATCTACCATGTACTTTTGGTTGCAATGGAAATCCTAGCGAATACATATTAACTAGGCCTTTTTGCAAATTGTATGTGTTGGGGTTTCCAGCCATGTGTCCGTGTCGGTGTCCTGAATGAAACGAATACGGTCCAGGGTGTTCGATAGCGGGGGTGAAGGCGTCTTTGCAATCAAACGCGCCACTCAACCACAAACTTACGGGAAGCTTGATAAGTCAATTTCCTACTTTTGGGCTCCTGCAGATTCTTTTTATGTCATTCAGGCATATGCATTTTACGCTACCTGAATAAATTCTCCTCCTGGACGGCGCTAACGAGGTCATTCCGTAGAATGACGATAAAAGCTAAATAATACCCTTGTAGTTGAAAGCAGTGAAAACTTGAAAGTGGAAAGTGGATGTACCTTTTAAACGGCCGTGCGAGTAAACCAGCAAAATCGTCTATCAAGATGTTGAAAAACTAGCCTATTGCTTCGAAAAAGTGGACTTTTGAAAAAAAAAGGCAAAGCGTGATCTTTGGTATCTGATAGCCGCTCACATACGCTTGTTTTCTGCCTCGATGTAGGCTTACCTAAGATCGGTAAAAATCTGAGTTCCGGCGTACGCTTCTGCTGATTGAGTATGTAGTGGCTACGCAGTGGTAGAACTTGGAGTACTACAATCATCAGGCTAAATCCCAGGCCGTAGGTGAAAGGCAAAAGTCACCAGATTGAGGCCTTTATTGTGCACGGAGTCCTGGGTTGCTGTTTCAGGCGGCAGTGGCCACTGGCGACGCCAGGACTGGTGTTGCCTGCGTCCAGTCGTGCCCGAGAGTGTGACTGTGTGTTTTTGGGAAAGAGATGACAATTGCTTTTACATGATTGTGGAGCGAGTTCAAGTGGTGTGCTATTGGTATGTTGCATTGTGTGAGGGTGTGTCAACTGTAGAAGCCCCAGCTGCGTTGACTGGGGAGTGGCAT